ATCATTTAGCATTCCTAAAACCCTTAAATCAGTAGAATTGTGTGTTTTTTCCAAACCAGATCACTTTTATGAATATTTAGATGACAACCCCCTTACATGAAGGATTTTATGGAGTATAAAAAAAGTAGAAGCCACGGTTTACATGTAATGCTTTTGTTTGATTTTGTTGGCAGAAATGATGAAATGTCTGGGCTAAAATAGCATTGTATGAAGTCAGATTCTATTAAACACGCAACATTCTGCTCAATGTCTCAAACAATCATCCGATAAATTTACTAATAAGTGATATCCCATATGGAGAATTAGGAATCATTGTTCATTTTACCAACTAACTCTTAATTTCTTTAATTCCTCTATATATGCTATAAATATAGTTCCTGACCTTTCTAATGCTATTGGCTCAAAAGCAAATGTAATTAAATGTTTTAGGTTGAATTTACCTTTGATAAAGTCCAACAGTTTTCAGCGGCATGCTGTACAAGTTTCCTTTTAACCGGTAAAGTACTCTCTATCTACAAGTCAGAGTGAGGGATATATTGAATTTTATCTGTAAACAAGTTTTGGTGTGGCCAGATCCCAAAATAATCATATTCCTCATCGTAAAGTTGATCCTTGTTTAGATGTTATTAAGAACATCTGGTGGTGTGCAACGGTTTATGTGGACATTTTATTTACCAAAAAATTGATGTTCAGGAGTAATTCTCTTTATGATCATATCTGTAAAAGCAGTTGTATTGGTGTCTTTTTAAAAAAAAATTTTTTTTATTATTCTTTATTTTTATTGTGTGAGTGGTAACCAACAGGCTTGATACACCACAATAGCTATACCAGGCATAGTAAAAACAGTCAAAAGAGGTTATTATCATGGCATTCATAGAAACCTTTTTATATTTAGTTACATCAGTAGGTAGGTAAGGTGAGATAGCATGTAAATTAGGCTGTTTGGGATGATGAGATCTCGTTTTATGTTATAAGAAAGAATAATAGCTATGCAAGTACTAAATTTACCACAAGTATATGCATTGGCTGAATTTCAATTGCTAAAATCAATGTTGGTTTTGTCTTTTTTGAATAAGCATGCTATGAGGAGCAAGATAAAAGAATAACTAATAAAACATGAATAGAGATGAACAATATACACCTTAACCCTGGGGGAAGGCGGGGAGGAGGAAGTTGGGCCCATTGTGGTCCGGTCTGTGTGTAGCTGCTGATGCTATTAGCTATTTAGATCTGGGTGTTCTGCATGTTTAGGGAGGAGGTGAGCAGGATGCAACTCTTGTTTCTTGATATTGAGAAAATAAGTAACTGATATTGGGACAGACAAATTAAAGCATAATACAACTCACACTAATTAAAAACATCATGCAAGCCATAACCTGTACACTATAAACTGTGATAAACTTGGTGTTCTTATGCATTAATGGCTGGGACTAGCCCTTGGGTTAGGGGGTCTAGAAAGATGTGGATTTGGCCTCTCTTGCTGTCAAAGACCCATCAGGTCATGACTGCTGCATAGTTCTCTGACGCAAGCCGTTGGGGGACAAACAGGGTAACCATTGCGGGGTCCCAGATACAGGGTGGTGCAGAGGTGGTTTGCGGTCCCGTCGAAGGTAAGGAGTCCTGCTGTAGACCCATTGTGGTTAGGAGATCTCTCACGCCCTGCATGTCGTGGATGGTGAACGAGGAGTCAGCATGATGTATTAGCAACACATGTGGTCCCCTCCACCTGTAGTTAATGTTTTGCGAGTATAGGAGAGATGTGAAGGGCTGGAGAGAGCATCGCCAGGCCAGGGTGGACCTAGACAGATATGTGTAGAATGATAGCGACATCTTCTCAAATAGGTAAGGAGATTGATTTTGTGTTGCGTTCATCACCGCTGTTTTATCTCTGTTACTGAGGAAGCACAACAGGAGATGCCTAGGTGACGTGCATGGAGCCTTGATAGGCCCTATAGATGGAAAGTCACCTCCAGGGTCACCTGTTTTGAGTGCTTGGAAGTTAGGAGGGCTGTTAAGAGTCTCCTTACAAAGTGAGGTATTTTAGCCACTGGTATCTACTCAGTGATCCTCCTGATATTAATATTCATGCTTCGCCTCTGATCTACTAATGCTGCAAATCATTGGTCATATTTAAGATTCTGCTGCTGCAGGTTCTGTACTACTTGCTGCAGGTGTTTTGTGTGCTTTGCGTTTTGGTTGGAGCCTTGCTCCAGGGCACTCATGCGGCCTGTCAGGCCCTGTAGGTCTTTGCGGCTTTAGCCGTCAGCCTGTATGGTTAGCCGAACGCCAGCCAGCAGTTCTTTAATGATCACCGTGGTGACTGGAGGTGAGTCTGTCTGTGGGGGAGTCGGGAGTAGGGCCTGTGAGGCGGGTATAAAATCTATTCCTGGTATAAAATCATCTGAGATATTGGAATAGTCCTTGGCGAATGTTTAGACCCATGGAACCCTGATGTTAATGCTCTAACATGGCTTGTCGGGTTTGGACTTTTTTGTCTTACAACCCATCTTGCTGACAGCAGCCTGGGGGTCCATTTGGTGTCCGGTACGTGGGTTTGGGCTGTGCAAGAGGGGAATAGTGGCTTTTTGGTACAGAGCTCAGACAACATGCAACCATTCAGTTCAGTAGCTTGGCTCCTCCCCGTATTGGTGTCTTTTTGAGAAGCCTCGCTGTACCACCTGTGGGACCAGATCTCCAGATATTTGGTGTGTGGCAATAATTCTTTCTCTTTGTTTGCCTGTATATGTTTTTTTTTTCCTGTTGTTTATTGGCTTTGGTGCAGTAATAAACTGCATGTTTGTATCAGGTAAATTCTGTGCTCGCTGGTTCACTCAGTCCAGTGTGGGGACACCATATTCGAGAGAAGAGATCTCATGTAGGGCTCTCATGCAGTCCACGTTATTTCCAAGAATAACATTTATATATATATAAAATTCCAAGAAGTCCTTGCACACAAGCTGTCAATTAAACGTCATGGCCGGGTGCTCGAAGTTGGGGTGAAACAATACAAAAAATGCAGGAGGATGACCAGCACTCACGGTCTTTTGAAGATTAAAACCCAATGCTTTATTGAAGACTCATTAAAATATATAAAATCTGTATGTTTCTTTTTCCTTTCATCTGAAATTACTTTAAAATTCATCTTTTCAGGTTTTCAATTTCTAATGGGTTTGTATAAATAAAAGAAAGCATAAAAGGAAGATATTTTAGTGTGTTATTTCTTCAAATGTGGTCTCGGTGTAATACCACATTTAAGCCCTAAATTTATGAAATGACAAATTTATGAAATCCTACTCTTGTCCTTATTATAATATAATCCTCCTTCACTTCAACAGCTAATTTGAGCGTAAAATTAGATACTTGGATTTCTGTATGAAAACATACATGTTACCGTGGCAACAAAATCTTTGTTCTAGTACAATATATTTAAATAGCTATAAAAAATATTTATTTTCGATACAGTTTTCTTTTATATATTTTTCTTTGCTTTAATGTACATTGAATAGATTTATTAATGGGACACTCCAAGCACCATTACAACTAAATCACACTCTAGTTATTGTGGTTCCAGGAGTGCCCTGGTCCCCCCCCATTTAAAAGAGTAAAACCAGCCAACAGTTCAATTTCTTCCTTGGGGTCTTCTGGAGGCGCCCCCAACCTCCAGTACAGAAAACCGAGAGCTGGAAGCTCCTTTTGAGCTAATCCTGGTGGTGAATGACTTAGCTAATTTACTGAGAGCAATCAACTGATGGTCACAGCCAATGAGCTGGCCCTGCACTGAGGGCACTAGAGCACCCTTCAGTTTTTATGAAGTTTGTAGTGTTCCTTTAACATCTTATGCATACTTGATAAAAAAAAATATATTTGCACATTATCCTGTTCCCTCCCAAATGTCTCTGTACTCCAAAAAGGAACACACACCACACACAGTCTCCTGAGTGAGGCTCAGCCGGGAGCAGAACTAGCACAGTGATAGAGAGACACAGGGAAGACAACTCTATCATATTTCCTGTGTCTCTATTACCGTCCTGCTTCCAGTTCCGCTGACTCACAGACTCACCGATAAGACTGGGAGCAGGGAGAGCAGAGAAGGTAAGGGCCCCACATTCAGGGTTTCGACCCCGCAGTCTCCATATTATTATTTATCCACATTTATAACTTTTCTCTGAGGTATTGCAATATATGGGATGCCATATATATCTATACATTTTTATCTTACAGCAAATTACATAAAGGATGAAAAATAAACACTTCAAATTGAGTAAACATGCCTAAACTTTTAGTTAGTCTTATACACAAAATATATATTTAAATTGTTTTATTTTTTTTTAAATTAGGTGTTGAAAGGTTATTCACTAAACTCAAATGTTGCCATAGAATTAAATTGATTGAATATTGCCATTCTGATTTCTATTCAATAAAATTATGAATTTCGTGAAAAATCCTTCTGGCTGTTCATCACATGTTTCAAATAAATGTTATTTTTACTTATTTCTAAATAAAGAATACTTATGGGGAATAGGTTATGTTGTTAGCGTTTGTTTCAGCATTATCTGTGCGTTTAATGATGTTATAATGGATGCATTGCCTTCTTTGTAACTTTTGCATTTTTGAACTTGTGATCTCATTTACCTTCATTAAACATTTTCATAGAATGCTCCAGCTTTCTTTCAACAATTAGAGTTGACTCTTAATCTGGTTTCTGCAGTAATATTAATCATTTATTTGATGGACTAGAAATAAACCCTTGTGATGATTGAGGGAAGGCTACAAAATGTTTTGAATGTAAAATCATGTATATTTAGAAACCGAGTCTCATAACAAGCAGTACTCTAGGGTGGTTAAATAAAAATAAACAAAATGTTTGTGATTGGGTGCACAAGTCAGTTTATTAGGATGAGTTTACGGTAAGCTATCACAGTAATATAAAATCAAGAAACATAGAAAGTGATGGCAGATAAGAACCATTCATCCCATTTAGTCTGCCCAATAAGCTATATTAAACTAGCCAGAACTCGAACCCAGGTTACAAGAATGGGAATCTTGCGTGATACTCCTACACTACTAGCCCAACCTTTAACCTGTAGAAAAGTGCAGGGTTCTTTAAATATTCAATTGAAAGTGCTAAATGTGAAAGTGCATATGTCATTTTCTGTGCAGCTGCAACTACATGCAAATCGTCCCAAATAAAGTGTGTTTAAATAATCACCATGCAATAGTGCAGCAATACTTTTTAAAAAACAACAACTCGGGGGTGGGGCCTGCACTGCATGGCGGCCAGACGCATTCTGTAGGAGCTCCTCTCTTGAATCTGGCAATTTTGTTTTTTAAATTTGACAATTTTTATTGTTTTCATTTGAATTTTCAGAACAGAGGGATGAGGAGGGGGAGGGGGTACAGAAGGAAAGAAGAGGAGGGGGGAGCATCAGTTTAGCATTTACTTAGCTACAATTGGTTTTACAAGCATTGGTCTTCCCCTTAGGGGAACCGTCATGAAATACATTTTTAGCTTTTTCGTCACCTCACATTGCTGTGTACAATTTGTCTCGACCTCTACTCTTCTACACCGTCTCTTTTCGGTGTCTCTACGTCCCTTGAGTTATCCCTTGAGTTATGGGGCAGATGGCTATCTTGGAGGGTGCTTTTTTGTCCATGTATCCCAGCTCTCCCATGTAGCCATTGTCATACTATTGGGCGGGCATATGTTGTGGAAGTGTTTTTCATAAATTCGTTGGTAATCCACTTATGCTAGGAGTGCTTCTATGGAAGGAGTATTGCAAGATTTCCATGCCCTTGCGATTACGCGTTGGGCCGTAAGCAGGAGGTGGTAAACCAACTTCTTCATATGTTGTGGGGTCATTGGAGGGAGTACTAGTAAAAGGTACGTGCTTGGGTCGTATTGTGGTTCAGAGATCGTTATTTCCTTGAGCACGCTCTGTATGGCCCTCCAAAAAGGCTGTATCAGTGGGCGCTGCAACCAGACATGTAAGGTTGTACCGGTATGCTTGGTGCATCTCCAGCATTCTGGTGAGCTGGATGGATAGAGCCTGTTTAGCTTTGCCAGGACCAAGTACCATCTATATACCATCTTCATGTGTTGTTCAATGAGTGTCGCAGATTTAACTAATTTTCTAGGGTAGCTCACTAGTTCATCCCATTGCTGTTTGTGCCCAGCTCTATTTCCCATTGTGTCGCTGGTGTAGCTATTGATAATGGAATATAGTCTAGGAGCAGTTTATGGCAAGTAGATAATGGTCTGCAAGCCCTAGGGAGTTCACGTTTGATGCATATGTTTTCCCATAAAGTGTAAGCAGGTGGGCTCGCGCTGTTCTGCGTGAGGCCTTTGGAGCTATGTGTATGGAGGAATGATAATAGCTGCCTGTATGAGAAGTGTGAGGTTGGCGGTATGTCATATGTTTTTGCAGTGTGTTCAAATCCATGAGCTTGCCTCCCGTGTGAACCTGGGTTAGGGTTGTGATGCCTCTCTCTTGCCATGATGTTGCATGAAATGTGGGAATACAGTATGTTAGGGCCCATAGCGGTGTGGCCTGTGAGATTTGGGAGCTAGAGCCAAGATTGTTTCTGTGCGTGTCCCAAACTCTCAGGAGTAGCGTTATTTGTGCTGGGGTATCGGTCAGTGGCGGTCTAAGTGTTTTAGGTAGCCATAGCACATGGGGGATCTCATATGATTCCATCAGGTGTTTTTCTAGTGTCACCCATTGAGGAGGGGGTTGGTCTATGAGGTGCGGCATCACCAATGCCAGTATGGAAGCATGGTAAAAAGCCTGTATGCGCCGTACCGCCAGTCCATCTGCTGTCAGCGGTGCCGTCAGCAGTTTCCACGCCACTCTCTGACTCTTTCCAGCCCATATGAATGTGCCGATATCCTTCTGAATCGTTTTAAAGTATGTTTGAGGGACATTCATGGGCAGCGTCCTAAAGATATATTGTAATCTAGGGAGTATAGACATTTTTAGTGCAATTATCCGTTCTGTCCATGTGAGGAGGAAGGGACCCCAAGTTTTAAGGATCATTTGGCAGTCATTCCACACTCTAATATAATTCTCTGGTATTAGGTCTTTAGTCTGTCTGGTAATGTGGAGCCCCAGGTATGTTATGTAGTCTTTCCTCCATTCAAAATTGTATTTGGTGCGTAATGTCCGAATTATTTGTTCTGGAAGATTTATCCCCAGGGCTTGTGTTTTTGCCGCATTTAGGGAAAAGTACGATAGGTGGCCATATGTCTGTATCGCCTGCATGATGTGTGGCAGGGAGTCTAGGGGGCGTGTTAGGTAGAGTAATATGTCGTCTGCGAAGGCGCTGATTTTGTATTCTATATTTTTTATGGTAATGCCTTCTATTTTGGGGTGGGCCCTAAAAGTGCGAAGTAGGGGTTCTAGTGCTAATACATACAGGAGAGGCTAGAGCGGGCAGCCCTGCCTCGTCCCGTTGGAAATGTCAAAGGGATCCGATTTGAATCCTGACTTGAGGACTTGTGCTGCTGGGGCCGAATATAGTGCAAATATTTGATTTATCACTGGAGGAGGGAATCCGTATGCTCTCAGGGTTCGGTCTAGAAATGACCAGCTGAGGCAGTCAAACACCTTTTCTGCGTCTAGTGCCAGGAGCAGTCCTCCCTCCCTATTATTTCGTAAGTGCTCTAGTAGTAGTTTTAGTTTCCGTGTATTGTCTAGCCCCTGTCTGCCTGTAACAAACCCCATCTGATCGTCTCCTATGAGGTTGGGCAGAATGTCGCTAAGTCTGTTAGCTAAAATCTTTGCGTATATTTTAGCATCGGTAATCAGTAAGAATATGGGTCGGTAGTTTTGGCATTTATCAGGGGACTTTCCCGGTTTTGGGAGGGTGACAATAGTAGCCAGTAGCATTTCAGGTGGCAAGTTCCCTGTGTTCGTGGCTGTTTGGTACACTCGAAGGAGGTGTGGGGCGAGTTCGTTAGCATACAGTTTGTAGTAGTTATTGGTGAGACCATCTGCCCCTGGTGATTTTCCCTTCGGTAGACCCACTATCACCTTCAGGATTTCCTGTAGGTCTATCAGTTTGGTTAGTGTTGTTTTTTGAGCCTGGGTTAGTTGGGGGAGGTTGGTCTGTCTTAGGTAGTTATCTATTTCCATTTGACTCGCTGTGTGTGCAGCACCTGATGATTGCAGGTTGTATAGTTTGGAGTAGAATTTAGCGAATTCTCAGCTGATGTCTGCTGGTGTCTGGTGTGGTGTGCTATCTTCACCTATAATACGTGCTATTTTAGTATTGGCGTATCTGGTTCGAAGTCTATTGGCTAGATGTTTACTGGCTTTACCGCTATTATGGTAGACATTGGCTTTAAGTTTGTAGAGCAAGGTTTTAGTTTTCTCTGCGTTTAGTTCCGATAGTCTTGTGTGCAATGTTTGTAATTGTGTTGCTAGTGTTGGTGTAGGTTGTTGTTTGTTTTGTTTGTAGATTATGGCTAGTTGTTTATGGCAGTCTAAGAGGTTGGTTTGGTGGTGTCTTTTGAGGAAGGAGGCCTTTCTAATAAACAGTCCTCTCAGAACTGCCTTGTGCGCTGCCCAAACTGTGGTATCTAAGACCTCTTCTCCTATGTTGGTAGCGAAGTAGGCCTGGAGGGTCTAATTTCTTGTGCAAAGTCAGTATTTAGTAGTAGTGAGTCGTTTAATCGCCATGTTCTCCTTCCCTTAAATTGGTAGCCAGCAAGTAGATCTAGGTATATCGGTCCATGGTCTGACCACGTTATGTACCCTATAGAACATCCTGTCAGTTGTGCTAAAAGTGGTCTGTCTAGGAAGAACGTGTCTATGCATGTGTATGTGTTGTGGACCCTTGAGTGGAAGGAATAGCCCCGTCACTTGGGTGGAGTGTCCTCCAAGCATCATATAGATCGTATTGGTCTATCAGCTTGGTGAAGTTTTTGCTGGTGGATACCATCTTTTTTTTACTATTGCCCGTGAGGGTGGCCGTCGTGTCTATAGTGGGTGATTGTATGCAGTTGAAGTCTCCGCATTATCTAGTTTGTGGAGCAACATTTGCAAGTATTGCTCCTGTTTCTCATTGGGGAGGTATGTGGCCAGCAGCGTGAGTTTAGTGTTATTAAACTGGCCTACCAGTATGATTTATCTACCCTTCGGATCTATACATTGTTGTTGTATCATAACTACGACCTCTTTGTGGATGAGGATTGATACCCCTTTGGATTTCGTGGCAGCCAGAGAGTGGAATTGGGTGGGATATTTTTTCATATATATAGCCGGGGTGTGGTCCTTTCTAAAGTGAGTTTCCTGGAGACACGCTATGTCAACTCCGTGTTTAGTGAGATCTTTAAATAATAGTCTATGTTTACCCGGGGTGTTTAATCCTTTTACGTTATAGGAGACTAATTTCATAGTATTGTGTCAAATGATCTTTAAACCGTACGTGTCTCCATTTCTCCGAGATATACAGTGTGGTAGTTATTGGGACGAGGCGGTTATAACATGTAGGTATTTTTTGATGCTGAGGGGTACCGCTAAGGGTACAGCTAAGGGACAGCTAAGGGTAGTAGAACCTTGGGAGGGGGTTATAACAAACAGTTAGGCAGTAAGCCCAAAATGACTTCTCCAGAGGGAGCAGAGATGTGCCGGGGGGGGGGGTCCCGGTCACATATCGTGTGGGGTTGGGGTATGAGCCCGGCTATACTCCAGTGACTCATTAGTGGCCTTAGTGGTGGGATTTAGCATTGCAACTCTGTAGGGGTGGTTGCCCTTAGAGGGTGTAACTCCTTATTGCGTCAGCTCGGTCACCCTTAAAGGTCTGGGTTTGTACTTCAGAGGCCCTGGCAACAAACTATATGGCCCTTAACTTTCAACGTATATTACTGTTAACATATATTAGTATGTTAGTATATTTAGTATATGTTGGTATATGTTAGTATATTTTTACATAAAAGCCATGGGGGAACAAAAGTTATAACTGTGGTGGCCATAAAACTTGTTCTCATGTTGTCATAAGTCTCTAGCATACTTCATAGAGGGCATAAGTGACTTGCCTCCTTCGGAGGTGGTTTACACTATAACATTCAAG